ACATGAAAAAGAGAGACTAATTAGAAAATTAAATGAGATTAAAAGTAAATTAGGGGTAGGGCAATTTCTTCAAAGATGGGGATGTAGTTTTTACCAACAATTTGGGTCAATGAGGAAAACACAGGGTTTTTATTCCTTTCTTAAAACAACATTAAATTAGGTGCTTTTCATTAAAAAAAATGCTTCTTCACATTTTGAATTAAAGTTTGATGAGATTTCAAATTCACAACAAAAAGACATCTGGAAACACAATTGATGGAAGAGGTGACTTATTTTTTTTTCTTTATGAATACTTTCTTTTTCCTTTTCATGGTCAAGTTGTAACAGAGATGTCTTGAAATAAAAGCAATAAAGACGAATATAATGCACAGCTTACATTGTGTTTTTCTTTTGAGCACTTCTCAAGAGATAACTTTACTGAAATCAGATCTTGGAAAAAGAAGGTTAAAAATAATTTGCTGAGTGATGTTTCCACTTAAAAACATATTCATGGGGCTTATCAGTCCAAGACCTAAGACAAAGGGCAGAGATAAGTCTGAGCCACAAGGATTGATAAGTAGACCCAATAGCCTCAGATAAAGTTGTGCTACAAAATTTAGCAAGAAAAGATAATCAATTTCTAAGACTCACTACATTTTTACTCTAATTTTACCATTAAGATGCTTCACAACCTTCCATTTATAAAAAAATATAAATATTGTCTGATATGTTTTATACTGTTTTTATTCAAGCTAATATCATTTTACTAATCTAAGAAGAGTGTTATTGGAGCCACATTCCTTTACACAAAAATAATTTAGACTTTAGTCACAGGTTTCCTCACAATTGAAAGAAAATAAATATTTTGAAAATAGAAGCTATTTTACTTGTCCACTTACAGTTTTCATGTACATCTAATGTAAACACGTTCATGAGAAATGACTAATAATATTTAAAAAGTGGTTGAGCTTTTATTTTGAAGGCAGCAGGAAGCTTCGTATCACAAAACAAGACATGTTCACACGGAACAGTAAAGACGGAACTTTATCAGAAATTAAACTACGACAACATTCACCAACATTTCTAACCTTTCTATCTTATGTAAAAGTAGCTGTCATTAAGAGTCACCAACTTTTTGCCTGTACATGAAAGTGCTCCTGCTAAGAAGTCTTGCAAAAATAAAGTTTTGCTTGAATTTACGTTGGTTCCAGTTTCCTAAAAACAGAAAAGGTAAGCGCGTAATTTAGTTGTCTTTATAAAAAATTCTTCATATAAGTTTATCAGTAACATCACAATACAATTTCGAAGAAAACATACACAGGAAACCCGACTGGGGTTTTATTTTGAAGGACAACATTCCGGTTGTTGGCACCGCGCAGCTAATTCAAATCGTGTTTGTCTGATTGTTCT